TTCAGTCAGGGCTCTAAATTCCTGCTCAGAGAGTACATCAGGGTTTGCAGGGTTATTGCCTGGAGGGTTCTCCCAGTACAGAGTGCTGGGTGTGCTGGGTGCTCTGGGGACAGGAGCAGTCTGTGACAAAAAACACTGGTGCCAACAGTGCCTGATTTGGGGCTGACATCTGAGCTGCTGGTATGCGCTCACGACTAGAGGGTAAGGGAGATCTGGGCAGGGCTGGAATCATATCCCCTCCAACATGGCCCACTCCTTAACAGACAGAGACTTGTGATCGTTGCAGTAACGAGACATCTTCTATTTATTCCTCGCTGCCCACCATCCGCCTGCACTTGCTCTCCTGCCAGGTAGCCTCTACTCTCACTGGCTCAGGCTTCCCATTTCACACACCAGCCCCTGCTCTCAGTGTCTTCCTCCTTCTAAATAGTCCCATTCCCCTGCTGTTCCCTGACAGGACGTGCTAGCAGGAGATACAGGCAGGACAGCTGGGGTTTGTTCCTGAGCCCCCATGCTTCATGAGTATCTCAGCTAAGCAGTGCTTGAGACACCTCAAGCCTTTCCTGCCATTCTTCCTCATCAGTGGCATGATAGCAGCGTTGTACTTCATCCTTGATGCCATTGTCCACAGCGGCCCCTTCACTGATGAGCACTTCTTTGAGAAGTTTGAGCGCCGGTGGCCCAAGCCCCTGACTCCCAACAAGAACGGCTCCATCTGATGGTCCCCCAGAGCTGCGAGGGCCCTGGGAACAGCTGCAGGGGAGGCTTGCGGAGAGTGTCTGGGAGAGGCTTCATTCTTCCAGCATGGATGGACTGTTCTCCCCAGTCTGCATGGATCAGATGGTGACGTGTGGCCTTGGCGTATGTGGCAGCATCCTAGAGGGGGTACAGAAATGGGATGAGGGAGCTTATGGGTGGGACATATCTGTGTGTGGAAAGAGGTCACTGTAATGGTGCGTCTGGAGATCTTAAGGCAACATGGGGCTATTTTTTTCATCCAGTCTTACCTTCTATGTACAGGCCAGTGATGAATCTCTGCTACCATCAGTTTTTGAGTGGTGTGGATTAAAAATGTGTTTTTTGAGCTGTGCCTGTGAAGGTAGCTAGGTATATGGGGGCTTGTTGCTAGAGTCCTTTCTGTAGTAGCTGTAAACTTCTGATCAGTCTGTTATGCATCTCTCTTCTGTAGTCAGCCCCAGATAAGATCTGTGTCACTGATGCATCTAGCTCTTTAAGTCTGTAACTTAGTCTGTTCAGTGGTTGTCTTCATACGATACTTTATCATCCTCCTGTCATGTGCCAGGGCTGTCCTGTGGTATCTCAGAGATTTTGCGGTAGATAGATTAGTCTGTTCTGTTGTGGCCTACATCTTTAGCAGAGGTTCTGCGCACCTTTCTAGAAGCAGAATCACAAGAGACGAATGGTTGTTCAGTCAGCAACCCTGCATGTATGTCTAGCAGTTCTTGCTTTTCATTCTCAGGCTGCTTATCAGCCTGTGCATTAAATAACTTCATGCTTTCAGGATGAAGTACGAAGATCCCCAAGCCTCCAAAGGACTCGCTGGCGCCCTAGATGCCCGGCAGCAGAACACAGGGGTGGTAAGTGGCTGCAGAGCCTTTAGTGCACACCAGGAGTGAGTGTCCTCCTTGTTTCCCAACACAATAAATGTGCATTCTGTTAGAACAAAGATCAAGCATTTAACGTGATTATGATAACTCTCCCAATAACTAACCTGCTTTTAGTACTTGGACTATATACCCCATTCTTTAAACCCTAGAGGTAGGGCAAACAAACTCCCCACCTTGCCAGAGGTATGAGAAGTCTGGAGTTGACTTATTCAGTAAGAGGATGGCCTCCTTGTATCAGCAGAAAAATATATGTTTTATTCCATTTAGCAGGTTTTCAAATCCAGGCATCTCCTCTCAGAGAGCTGGGCCATCAGTAATAGTGCATTCTGCCCTCCCCCATCTGCTGTCTCCTCTCCTCCCCCATACCCCACGCTCTGTGACAGCAGCTTTCAGTGCAGACTTTCTCTCAAGCAGGGGGAGCCTGGTGACTCCAGTGATGGAGCCCCACTGACTAACTGGATGATGCGACAAGGAATGGTGAGATCATGGCAGCGCCAGCAGGGAGGAAGGAAGCTAGGGCTCCTGGACTGGAGGTGGCTCTAGTACAGCACATGAGGAATCACAGCAGACATCAGGAGAGACTGTAAACTGAAACGGAGCACCCCTTGTCTGGGCCAGAAGTGGTGACCAGGGAAGGAAACAGGCAGAGCATCAGTCTTTCCTCAAGTAAACCTGTCTGTAGGGAACAACCCTAGGAGCTCTGAGGCCAAAAGAGCTTGTGCCATTCTTTGAGCTAATGGATGGCCCGTTTCATGTTGGGCATCTGGGGCAGAGGCATTCAGCAGTATCATGGGGAATGCTGCTGTCCTTCATGTTCCCTGCTGAGGAGCCTCTCCTGCTCAGAATGAGCTGCCTCATTTGGAAGAGAACACAGTTTCCCCTTTTACCCTGTTCAGAGTGTCCTCCTATAGCTGCTGGACACTTATTAAAGTGTTTGAGCCTTCAGGCTGTTGAATTTGGTCTTTCGCAGTGGAATCCTGTGTTTGTATCCCTTCAGGCACACTGAGTCTTTCACACACTCCCAGGTCTAATGCTTGTTAGCCTGTCTTCCTAAACTGGGCACTGCTCAGGCTGATGTCTGCTCTAGAAAGTTTCCCCATGTGCTGTCTAGTTGGCTTGGATACACTTCTACCCCAAAGAGTCCCTCTCTGGGTAGATAAAGCCACTCCACTGAAAATTCCTTAATCTTACACATCCTTTTCCCTCCCCACCCATCCTTCTGCCAGCTGTGGTAACTATCTTGCTGTGGTAATGTCTGCCAGTCATGGTAACTAACTTGCTCCATGGTTTGGGGAAAACTGCCTTTCCTTGGTAAGAAAGGGTTGCTCTTGTGCTTGGTCTTGCTGTTTTCCTCACAGCAAGGGTGCTATACATTTTTCAGAGGCTGAGAAATAATTTCTTACAAATGCCCTTTCTTGGTGCTGCTTGTGGAGCCTCAAGCAAGGACTGTCCCTTGCTTAGCTTCGTCAGAAGATCGTGACTGGAAAAAAGGATCTGGGGTTTGAATTGGTCTTGGTTGCTTTCAAGGTTATATCTCTACATAAGGAAGTGTCTCTTCACTGCATAAATTGGCCAGTGACATAAACTCTTCTGAACTAGCCTCTTCCCTACTAGTAGTCAAATTTACCTTAATTGTTGAGAGCTTTCTCTCTGAAGTGTGTATTTCTAGAGTTTGGAGTGATGTCAGGTACTGCTGTGCTCCATGATCTTACCAGGAAATAAGGCAGGTGTCTTTTCCCCCTCAATGTGGTATCAAACCTAGGACATCAATTTTTTGCAGCAGCACAGACTTTGACATCAGACCGTCACTGGGCCTATCACTGCTCTGTAGAAAACAGGCAGTGTGGCGAAAAGTACGCCTCTTGTTCTCTGGCTGCCTAACAATGAGCAGCCAACTGCCATCTAGTGGTTCCTTTCGAAAATGTGAAGCCTGGTCCAGTGCTAACACTCCAAAGCCTGTCCTAAAACCTCAGATGCTTTCAATGGCACGTATCCTGGAAATCATGCATGTCCGGGTGTGGATGGGACAGAGTAAGCAGGTGAACAGTGGCATTGGTAGCAGGGAGAGAGTTGCAGGGGCACTGGTTAGATTTGGAAGCGCCAGAGCTGACCGAATGGTGGGGCAAGATGGTTAGCTTTTGGTTTGGGCTTTCCTTTTGCAGGAGTGGGTTTCAAGAACATCCTCTCTTTCCTTGGACTCATCCCTCTCTCATCATTCTGTCCCAGGTGCCAGTCCCCCAAGCCAATTTCATGGAAGACATAGAGAAGTGGCTCTCCACTGATGTGGTAAGTGAGCAAAAGGACCAAGGTGGCTCCTGCATGACTGCGTCTGGTGCAGAGCATCTGTCTGCAAGTTTCAACTGGTTGTAGAGGCTCTAATAGTTATCAGGCAAGAACCATGAGGACTCAAATGCTACTCACATTCTCTCATTCTTAAAACACAGCCTCTTTGCCACCAGCCTCTCCCAGCCTCCCAGACTGTGTCTCCATTTCCCTCTCTGTGGCATCTGACCTTGCTGAAAACCTTCATCACCTGTGCTTTCCTGGAGCTAGCAGTCCTGTGAGAGTTGCCTGACTCTTGCTGAGGTGTTGAATTTTAGGCAGTGTTCAACAGCCCTAGCATGGCTGAACATATGGCACAGGCTGCTTTGAGAGAGCATAGGAGGAGAAGCAAAGGACATCAGCGTTTGAGGTACCCTATCAGTATAATTAGCCTTTTAAGAGGCATAGCTAATGAACCAGGGCTCAGGGCAACTCTAACATGCCTGTACTGCTGAAGGAGGGGAGCACCATCCTGTCTCTGTCCATGCAAGCAGAGAACCACATCTGTGGAGGTGTCTTTGTCTACCTTGCCTCTTACCATGCCTTTCTTCTCCTTCCCCAGGGAGAGTCAGAGGATGCGAAAGGTGTCACCAGTGAAGGTAAGCATCACCAGCCAACCCCTTTCTTCAGCTGTTCCTGGCAGCACCTTGGCGCTTCCACAAACCTCCCTCCTTGCTAATGCTCTCTGTCCTTGCCCCAGAGTTTGACAAGTTCCTGGAAGAGCGAGCAAAAGTTGCAGACCAGCTACCCACTTTGTCCAGCTCCTCAGCAGGGACATCTGTCTTGCCTCCTGCTGCCAGCCATCATCAGAAGCAGGCAAAGGAAGATGATGCTATGTTTGCCTTGTGAATGCTACAGACTGGCGTGCTGTGGAGTAAGAGGCTGTGTGTGTGCCGTTTTGCTCGCCTCTGACCAGGGGCCAGCAGGGGAAGGACTCTGTCCCCTTCCTCCACTCTCTTCCTGTTTTCCATTTGAGTTGTTTTTATTTTTAAGCTGCTTTCAGATTCCAGATAATCATTGTTGTGTTTAGGGATATCACACAATAGACTTGCGAAGGTGGTTTTCAAAGCTGCTAGAGAACATGGAAGTTCAGTGAGCGTCCTTAATGGTTGGTATAATGATAACACACCATTTATATAAGTATTGATATCTATAGTATCACATAATACTGCTTATGGATTGGGATTTTTTTTTTTTTTTTTTTTGTATAACGTGGGCAAAGCAGAAGAAGGTCCCCATCTCCTTCTCCAGTGAGGTGACCACAAGTCTTGCCCAAGAAACAGGAGAGGCTGCTGAAATCTTTCCTGCCTGCCTCTTTCCTAGCCCCCTCCCTAGAATGGGTCTCCAGCCCACTGCCTATCACTCTTGGATTGGAAAGCCTGAGGATCCACAGCATTAAAGCTGGCAAAGGAAGAACACTAATGGTAGTGGGGCCCTGTTGCTCTAGTCTCTCTTGTAGAAGTACTTGTGGTATGCAACACCTTCCCACTCATCACCCCTTCTCTTCTTTTTCCTTTCCTCCGCCTTCCCATCAGTTTATCCAGAATTCTACCTGCAACCCATATGTTTCCATTGCATGACAGCCAGTTACCAAATCCCATGACTGCACACAGGCCTTGAGCTGAGCTTGAGCTGGACTGAAGGGGCTGTCTGTATGGGGTAGGGTGTACCTTCAGCAAATTCTTTGCAGTTAATTTAATTCTTGTGTTATTTTACTTTCCTCCCCTCTTTTCCCCATATGATTCACTTCCGTCTCTCACTTCCACTGACACCTCCCATCACATCCTGCTGTGGTGTCGGGGAGTCTCTCTGAGCCTCTCATCAAGCCAATGCTGGAGACTCCCTCGGGGTAGCTGTGAATGCCAGGGCAGCCACAACCCCTGAAGGAAAAGGCCCTTATAGCAGGCACTATTATACCAGTGAGCACATTCTGTTTCTGGATTAGTTTGCTCAGCTGGTGAGTACGGAGGTTGATTTAAGACATCAGTCATCTCATGCCAGCAACAATCAGCCCTGCTGCAGCCAGGAGCTCCTTTGCACATGGAGAGAAAAACCCTTCTAAGCAAACTGCACATGCTACTTAATTTCAAATGGCAGCAAGGGAGGAGGGTGCCAGTCCTGGGGCTCCTGCTCATGGTATTTCTTGCTGAATGTGGGAGAGTTGCTTTTTTATTGCATATTAAAGGAGCAGACTCCTGAACCTGCTTTGCAGATGTGCATGTGCTGTCTGTTCCGGTGTGGGGAGGGGAGGACCCTATGGGGAAGCTGAGGGGTGCAACCATGCAGCCATATTTCCTCTCCACAGGAAGGCAAGAGCACTGTACTGCTGAGAGGAAGCAAACCATGGAGGTTGACCATGCTGTGAGCCAAGGCAGGCACTAGCTGCTGCTTTTTAGCATAGTTTCCTGGGGGCATGTCTCAAGCCAATCTTGAAATAGCAAGACGGAGAGAGCTACCTTCTCTCCTTTCACTCTCTGCCTTGTTACCAGATCCAAATACCCTTCTCACAGTCCATAAATCATTTGAAGACCTGCAAGAAATACAGTTGCTACAAAATGGCTCTCTGGTACCCATGAGGTGTCCACATGCCATGCCCTGATGTCCAACCGAGTGGGGGGAGAATTCTTAAAAGGAGGTTGAACAAATTGAAAGGATCATCTGAGCCCCAAGCTTGTAGAAGGAGTTAAATTAGCTACAGATGTCCAGATCTCAGGAACTCCCTCTACACGCATGTGCACAGCATGCTCAGCTGCACCAAGCTCAAGCAGAGGCTTCAGGGTAAGAGCTGTGAGCAAAGTTGGTCTGCAGCTGTTGGTACCGGGGCTGGAAAAAGCAGAGTGCTCAGGTTTCTTCCTCTCCTCTGTAAGAAGTTGGGGCATAGGCAGAGGCTTTGTGCCCTTTCCAGCTTTCCAAAATGGACAACATGTTCTGGATAGGTTGTCCCTTAAAAAATGAATCATCATTCCCAATTTCAGTGACCACAGCACTCTCTGTAGGGCTCTGTGAGGAACAAAGGGAGTTTTGCCACCCCTCCACCCCCCCCCGGCCACTTCCCTTCTGAACCAGCTCACCTCTTGGATATTTCTTACAACTCTCTTTCTTTGAGCAGCTGTGCTCTAGCTGGGGTGCATGGACTATAATCTGGAGGTGGTGCGGGAAGAAAAGTCCCAGCCTAATGAGCATTTCATTAGGCCTTAGTCCTTCCCTTCCCCTCTACCTATTTGTCTCTCAGTCCCAGCAGAATAAGGACAAAATACTCCAGAAAAGGAGGATATGGGAGGCTGAACATTCAAAGTGTGAAAACTGCTGTGTTGGACACAGCCAAGAAGAGAGCTGCCAGTCATGCTCTCTCTCGCATGGTGCCCCAAGCTTTTTCCTGATCCATGAGTGGCTCCACGTCAAACAGTGCTGCAGATTCCATGAAGCAAAAAAGGTTATAATTTTGTCTCTGAGTCTCAAGACATTTCTGCTTTCACAGCCAGTTCTGCAGTTGGACTTTACAATATCACTAAGCTGTATGCTCCTTAGGTGTAAGAAGGGCTTAAGTATGCAAAGCACTTTCTCACTGAAGAGCGTAGCCTAAGAGCTGCGTTTTAACTATCACCAGTTATCACAGGCTTCAGACAGCAAACACAGGTAAAAGCTTGCAAGTGGCTGTGCTGCAAACCTCTATTGTAAGTCCATTTTCCACATTCACAGCTTGCTGAAATATCTTTTTTTCCTCCAAAGCATCCTTGGCCAAGGGGGTGCTGGAAGTAAAACCTAAGGGAAGATGCTAGCTGCATTTGCCCCGCTTGCTCCGATTCTGGTGTCTGCTGTCACCCTTACAACAACCCCAATGCCTAACTCAGCCACAGTGGATGGTATCCACTGATAGCAGTAGCCATGTGAGGGAGCGTTACATTGGGTTGGCAAGCAAAGGCCCCAGGGAGATGCGAACAAAAGTGAGCACGTAATCAACAAAACAGGGCTTAAGTGGGGGCATGGCAAGTATTTGCATGTAAGCAAGGAAGTGGCTACAAGATAGCATTATGGGGAAATCTCTCACACCCTTTCTGGGAAATCAGCATGCTTGGCTGAAGTGCCTGTACACTAACGCATGCAACAGGGGGAATAAACAGGAGGAATTAGAGATATGTATGCAGTTGCAGGTTTATGATCTCATTGGGATCACAGAGACATGGTGGGATAGCTCACATGACTGGCATGCTGCAGAGGGTGGATACAGGTTCTTTAGGAAGGCTAGGCCAGGACAGTGAGGAGGAAGAGTCTTCCTTTGCAGGAATGTATGGAGCTCTGCCTAGGGGTGGATGATATTCCGACTAAGAGCTTATGGGTAAGGATTAAGGGGCAGACCAATATGGGCGACAGCATTGTGGATATTTGCTAGAGGCCACCTGATCAGGAAGAAGTAGATGAGGCCCTCAATGGACAGCTAGAAGTAGCCCCGTGTTTGTTAGCAGGCCCTGGTCAACAAGGCAGACTTAAGCACGCCGATACCTGCTGGAGGGACAACACAGCAGGGCACAAGCAAGCCAGAAGGTTCCTGGAGAGCATCAATGACAACTTCCTGATACAACCTCCAACTCCTTATAGAGGAGCCAACAAGGAGAGGTGCTCTGTTGGACCTCATAGTTACAAACAAGGAAGGGCTGGTTGGGATGTGAAGGTAATGGGCAGCCTTGGCTGCAGTGGCCATGAGATGCTGGAATTTAGGATCCTGAGAGGAGGGAACAGGGCAAAAAGCAGGCTAACAGTCCTGGACTTCAGGAGAGCAGACTTTGGCCTCTTCAGCGACCAACTTGGAAGAATCTAATGGGATACAGTCCAAAAGAGAAGAGGAGTCCAAGGAAGCTGGTTGATACTCAAGAGTCTCTTCCTCCAAGCTCAAAAATGGTCCATCCTAATGAGCAAGAAGTCCCACAAAGGTGGTAGGAGGCCTGCTTGGAGGAACAAGGAGCTCCTGGCAAAACTCAAAAACAGAAGAAGGAAGTATAAAGAAGGTGGAAGCAGGGACAGCTAAACTGGGAGGAATACAGGGATGTTGTCTGAGCATGCAGGGAAGGGGCTGGGAAGGCAAAGCCCATATGGCATTTAATCTGGTGAAGGACATTAAGGACAACAAGGAAGGCTTCTATAAATGCCTCAGTAAGAAAAGAAAGACTAGGGGAAATTCGGCCTGCTGCTGAATGGGGCAGGGACCGTGGGGACAAAGGACATGGAAAAGGTGAGGTACTAAATACATTCTTTGTCCCAGTCTTTACTGGTAAGACTAGCCTTCAAGAATCCCAAGCCCAGAGACAAGAGAAAAAAGTCTGGAGACAGGAAGACTTTTCCTTGATGGGGCAGGATCAGGTTAGATCAAACTAGACATAAACAAGTCATGGGGCCCTGATGGGATTCACCCACAAGTACTGAAGCAACTAGCTGATGTCATTGCAAAGCCACTCTCCATCATCTTTGAAAGGTCAAGGTGATCATGAGAGGCGTCTGAGGACTGGAAGAAACCAAATGTCACTTCAGTCTTCAAAAAGGGCAACAAGGAGGACCCAGGGAACTACAGGCCAGTCAGCCTCACGTTGATCCCTGGAAAGGTGATGAAGCAGCTAATTCTGGATACCATTTCTAGGCACATGAAGGACAAGAAGGTGATCAGGAGTAGCCAGCATGGATTCACTGAGGGGAAATCATGCTTAACCAATCTGGAGGCCTGTAGCTAGTGGTGTCCCCCAGGGGTCAATACTAGGTCCAATCCTGTTCACCTTATTCATTAGTGACCTGGATGAAGGGACAGAGTGTACCCTCAGCAAATTTGCTGATGATACAAAACTAGGAGGAGTGGCTGATACACCAGACAGCTGTGCTGCCATTCAGAGGGACCACAACAGGCTGGAGAAATGAGCAGAGAGGAACCTTCTGAAGTTCAGTAAAGGGAAGTGCAGAGTCCTGCACCTCAGCAGCAATAACCCCTTGCACCAATACAGGCTGGGGACTGACTTGCTGGAAAGCAGCTCTGCAGAGAAGAACCTGGTAGTCCTGGTGGGCAACAAGTTGACCATGAGCCAGCAATATGCCCTTGCAGCAAAGGCGGCCAATGG